CACCAGTCAGCTTCAGCTATGTGCATCAGGTCACTAACTAGTTGGCATGTCTGTTCTTCCTATGTGGAGTACATGAATGAAAGTATAATTCAATGCATGTGTGGTGTGTACTAACGGTCTGTGAATGAACATTAGAGCGCCACCTTCAGGCTGAATTACACACCAGACGGCTGCTAAAAGTGTGTTGAGCATATAAAACTGACAAACTGTTTATCCTTAACTAGCACTGAGACAGAATCTGCCCTGCATAAATGAACAAAGTCAGTCTGGTCATTTACAGTAATTTATCAGGTTTACTGAGTGAAACCTAACGTCAAATCAAACTCTAGTCCAAGTCAAGACTCAAATCCCTGTTTGTAAAAGTTTTCTCTACTCTCACTTTACACAGGTTCAGTATCACGTCTCATTTCTGTTGTTCAGATAATCACGTCTCAGGTTCAAGATGCTGGTAACTTCAAAACTTACGAGCAACATCAAGTCAGTGTATTTTGTTGTAAACATACTGTAACTCAGACTTACTGAATATAATCAGCAAAATTCAGATTTTTCCATGACATCTCAACCATGAGCTCATTAACATATCTACATATTATCCACACCCGCTGAGCATTATGCGTCAGGCGGTATAGAGGATGACAGCAGATGTGAAGGAATGGGATTATACTATATATATACATATATATAACTTTGAAAACAACAGACAATAGAGCCGGGGTATTTCCTCCGAGGAGGCAAGGGAGGCAGTGCCTCTTCAAAATACTGGGTCAGAAAAAGTATGTAGTACAAAAATATAACAACACCAATATTACAAATTAAAACATTAAAAAGTGTATAAATGACAGTTTTTTCTAAAGAGACAGTGTCCAGCAGGTAGTTACAGCAGGAGGCTGCGCCCATTGAGTTTGAACAGACCCCCTCAAGCCTGCGCTGGGTTTAGTGGGGGGTAACTGAGAATGAATGGGGGAAAGTCACGTGACAGGATGCAATGCCTCCATCGCAATATGATTGGATATGACTGGTTATGATCGGCTGTGATTGGTTCATGTGATAAAACCTCTTTTGTGTTCATGCGCATTCGTGAATCCGTCTGAAAGACTCATTTAAAAAAGTAAGTAAACAACTCACACACTTAGATATAACCACTCTGTCTCGTCAAAATAAGACTTGACCTGAAAACATGATCTGTGGGAGTTGTAGTGAGTAATCAGCTTGCTGAAATTTAATGTAAATCTCCGTGTCTGTGACCAATATTTACAGAGCTTTGATAACTGATGATCCCAAACATTCAAAAATAGTTAGAAGTTAAAGGCACAATATGTAATTTTCGCCGCTAGAGGGCACGTATTCAAAATAAACAAAGAGACAAAGGCGTAGTCTGATGACGCTGTGACTGAGTGTGGAATCATGGGAGTTGTGGTCTTCATCCCCACAGCCGACGCAATCCGACGGGACTCGGGCAGAAATCATGTTCATGGATGAGCTAATGATTT